TATTCAAGTCTGCAGGAAAGTAACAGAAATATACAAATATAAGCTCTTATTGTGAAGTGTAAGCGGAACTTCCGTCTCCTGCTGTTGACGCAGCCGCAGTGCGCTGCAGGGACTAAAATCCGGCGGCTTGCTGCCTGTTTTCGGCTGTTTTCGGGCTCTTCCGGTCAGCATGGCGCACCTGCGGCTCCTCCGCGCGGCGGTAACGGAGCGGCTCGCGGCGGCGGCGGAGGAGATCCTCGTGCTGGTGGAGAGAGTGATGGTGGAGCGCGAGGACGAGCTCATCCGCCTGTACGCACCGACGCCCGCGACTGTCGGCGGGGACGCGCACACAGGTCCGGTCCAACGTGAGCGAGCTTCTGGTTCTGTTGTTTATTTTTCACAATAAAAGCTTCAGCGGAACGAAAACTGACAGACCCGCTAACATCAAACTTCCTCACCTGGTTCCGCCCCCTGACGTCACATGTTTAAGCTCATCTGAGGGTGAAGGAAACACATTGAATAAACTCTGTCATTAATCGGGTGATGTTTGACTCGAGCCGGCTCGAGTCAAACATCAAGAACAAATAAATAAACGTTCTGTTATTTCCTGTGGTTCGTTATCAGGGCTCGTTTTAGCCCCTCCCCCAGCATCAGCGAGCAGCTGTGTGTAAACACAGGTTGATCTGATGGATTATAATAAATGAGTGTTTAATGTGCGAGGCTGACGTTTCACACTCTGAGTATAAAAACGAATAAAAACAAACGCAGGTGTTCTGATGTAAAATTGCTTTCAGACAACAGTCAAAGTTTCTCACTGAGGCTCTTCAGGTAGACTTCAGACCTGCACTGAGGGGTCCTCCAGAGATCTGATTGGTCAGCAGGCAGGGAGACCTGTTCTGGGCTCGTCTATGAGGAGATGAATGGGTTAGCGAGCGTGTTTAAGTCGCCGTGGCAACCTACACTGATCACACCCGGTGGGGAGCAGGTTATCTTCAGTGTCAGCTTAAAACTGTCGCGTTCTTCCTGATTCTTTTATTCACGGCAGGGGTCTCGAACTCCGTCCTCGAGGGCCGCTGTCCTGAGACGTTTCCACGTGTCCCTGCTGCAACACACCTGAATGCAACTAGTAGGTCATTAGCAAGAGTACAGAACTTGACTGCATGCTGAGGTGGCGACCCCCTAACCCTACTCAAGTAAATGCAAGAAAATGGCTAAACGTCCACTTCAGCACGCAGCCACGTTCTGTTTGATTCACGGTGTGTTTCAGGTGAGAGGTCAGGCCGTGCCTAAAAACACTGGATGCAGCATCACGGCGTGCTGCCGAGTGTCTGCGCTCAGTAGGCTGAGTACAGGCCAAAGCTGCATCAGTTACCATGGTGATGTGCCCCGGTCAGAAGCGAAGCGCCTTCGTAACCCTGAACAGCCGGAGTTAACCCTGGGATGGGTGAACAGCTTGTCCTCTCGCCCTGACTCCGCCTCTCGTGACTCCTCCTGTCGCCGTGACTCCTCCTGTCGCCGTGACTCCTCCTGTCGCCGTGACTCCTCCTGTCGCCGTGACTCCTCCTGTCGCCGTGACTCCTGGTCACGTTTGCGTCTTGCTGATTTGTTTTCTGGAGTTTGTGGTTCTGTTTGTTTTCTTTAAGCTCAAGAATCTTTTTAATGTTTCAAATATTCTCCAGAAATAAAAAAAAAACACGCTCTCGTCCTCTGCAGACACTCAGCACCTCCAGGAGTCTGAGCCGCCGACCATCAAGCAGGAGCAGCAGGAGCAGCAGGAGCAGCAGGAGGAGGTGTGGGTCGCTCCTCAGGCAGCAGAGGATGATGTTAAACCATTCAAGCATGAGCTGCCTGAGGAGGAGGAGGAGGCTCAGATGGTGGAGATAATGAAAGACGAAGCCCAGCCGGGCACTTCCTGCAAGGAGCCCGCTGCTCCTCCTCCGCATGGTGCTCCTGCTGTTGGTGAAGGCGGTGGAGGAGGTGGGACTTCCTGCAGCTGTAAAGTTTGCGGGATGACGTTCAGCTACCGGGGCTCTCTGCTGAACCACGCCGAGACTCACGCCGCCGCCGAGTGCTGCCTCTGCAGCGTGTGCGGCGAGCCGCAGGCTGACCGGCAACGCCTGCTGGAGCACCTACGGACACACCTGAAGAGCCACGTCTGCAAGTTTTGTGGGAAAAGCTTCCAGCGGCGGGTGGAGCTGAAGGTGCACACGCGCAGCCACACGGGCGAGAAGCCTTTCAGCTGCCGGCTGTGCGGGAAGCGATTCACCCGCAAGAACAACATGGAGATCCACATGAGGACGCACACTGGCGAGAAGCCATACCACTGCACCATCTGTGGGAAGGGCTTCAACATCACCTCCTCCATGATCCGCCACGCCCGCACGCACACCGGGGAGAAACCCTACAGCTGCTGCGTGTGTGGGAGGGGCTTCACGGCCAGCTCGGACATGAAGATCCACATGAGGACGCACACGGGCGAGAAGCCCTACACCTGCCCCGTGTGCGGGAGGGGCTTCGC